TCATACAAAATAGGTACCATTAGCATATAACCTAGGCTAAAAATAACCAAGACCCTGCTAGATTCAAATATAAAGGTGACCACCACACAAGACACGCAAAATATTTCACCCCCAAACTTAGAAAACACATTGTCCTCAATGTAGCACAAAACAGTAGAAGAAAAGAGGGAAGACAGTTACGATACTCCCCATAGCAATAGTTATTGGGGTGGTTGTGGTGGAAAGAGCTGCTCGAAACAGGCAATCATGTCAGCGTATCTAGCATCCTCAATATCTGCCTTTTCTCTCTAGTATGCCTCAATTCCCGCTGTCCCCGTTGTATAGTCCTCTCTTAACTTTGCACACTCAGTCTGAATGCTTGTAATTTGCTGACCGAGAGAGGAGAAATAACCCTTGTACTCGATGTGCCTCTGGTCTTGAATCTTCTTATAGTCTTCAAAATTCTGATTCTGAATCCGCTGGAAGTTTGCTAGCTCTTCAATTTCTTGTCTTGTTACCGGCCTAGAGGTGATATGATTAGGCGCTGGACCTAACTGTGATAATAGAATGTGGTCTTCCGGGTCACGATCCCGTGGAATATCTTCATCTGACTCTTGTGTAGCATCTTGATCAAAATCCTCATCTACAAAGTCTCCATCAAAATTTTTTTCATTGTACGGTCCTAGACTTTTTGCAGCCACGTCCATAGGCCCAAATGGAATTTCAGCTTCCTCACATATGCCAGTAATGAGGCTTGGGAAGAGAAGCCTAGGTTTAGATGGTGATGTAGCAGTCTCAAAGATTAATTTGAATGCCAATCTTCCCAAATTCAGGAGATATCTTTTAGAATGAAATGCAGCCAAATATTCGACCCGAACCTTGACTACGTGGTATGATGTGAAACAGGGTGAATATTAGTGCATAACACACGAGCTAACACTCTATTCTCCTTTGTAAACTTGCTGTACTGTAGCACTTTTCTTCCCTTCCCAGTAGGCCATTGTGTCGGTCTCCTGTACATGAGGGTAGCAGCATTATTCAAATCGTTGTCTTTAGGGAAGCTTGCTTTGGCCTTCTTTGGATCCAGCCCATAGTACTTGTTGATGATGTCGGGAGAGAATTTTATCCATTTTTCCCTAACCCATGTTTGGTGATAGTGAGGTGTCGTGTTGTCATTGATGACCCGGTTAAAATTTGCATAGAATTCTCGCACTAACTGGGGTATTACCTCATGTGGTTCGGCTACTACCTCTTCCCATTCGTGCCTTTCAAAGACCTTATGCAAGAGTGTATCTCGAAAATCCCTCATGGTAACACCGCGCTCATAAACCAACTATCTTGTGCCTAATCTATCGGCATATCGTTGCTCTTCGTCATTTGACCGAAATTGCTTGAAATTTGTTTTTACTCGCTTTCGACTTGGTTCATCTACCACTATGCCCTTTCCCCTAGCACTCTTGGATGATTCACTTGTCTTCGTTATTGTTTCAGGCAAAAGATCTACAAAGAAAACATAAAAACAATCAAATGTAGCATAAATGAAAGATATGCATGTAATACGAATGAAACTCGAACATGAAAGTGAATAATGATGCACAAGAGACCCCCAAACTTAGTGGAAAATAGTGCTCAAACGTGGCCTAAGGTTTGTGTATAAAAGTTTCATTGAGGACTTTCCACAAACACCTTAAAGGCATGAGTGACATTCAACTACCATCACAAGATTTTAGGTTTCATGTAATCCCAAAAATTTATCAAACAAATCAACAATCTAAACCACACATCACTCCATTCTTAGGTTACCCAAACTCCTCCACAAACTAAAGACATCGACCGATGAAGAAGAATCATAAATTCGTAGTGTTCAAAAACATACCTCAACAAAATTTGGACTTGGAGTTATTGTTTTCTTGATTGAAGTGTTATGAGTCCTAGACTTGAGGGAGTTTGAAAGTAATGAAAGGAGATGGACAAAATAGCCAAGTTTGGGGAGAGGAAGTGGAAGAAACTTGAAATGAAATGAGAAAGGGAGTATAGTGGGTTTTAAAAACTCGCGGAAGTGTGCGGGTGCGCACTTTGTTTATGTTTTTTCAACCAAATTTCACCAAATTTTACATGCTCAAAATATGCACACAGAACAACGTGCCTTCCAAGAAAATCATGAAAATTGGCTATGGAATATCAAAACAAAAATTACACAAAATGAGCAATTTCAGTCCAATTTATACTCTATCCAATTTATGTTCTCAATGAAAGCACCATGACATGAAAATGAGCTATGATAGAGGTACAATATGTATGGGGATGATGACACAAAATTATGGATAGCAACACAAATAGCTAAACTATGAAAAGTAGAGGAAATGAGAACAAAGTAAAGAAATTGGGTTGCCTCCCAATAAGCGCTTCTTTAAAGTCATTAGCTAGACTTTGAGATATGATCATTCCGGGTTTGACAGAAGAATGGATGACTTCTCTTTTGGAAAATCACCTCCCAAGTAGGGTTTAACCTTTTCCCATTGACTTTGAAATTTCCTTTTTCCTCATGAGACAACTCGACCGCTCCATGTGGGAAGATTTGATCAATAGTGAAGGATCCCGACCACCTAGAGCGTAATTTACATGGAAATAATCGTAGACGAGAATTGTAGAGGAGAACTTGTTGGCCAACTTGAAATTCCCGCTTCACAATATGTTTATCATGCCAATTCTTTGTCTTCTCTTTGTAAATTCGGGCGTTCTCATAAAAGTCAAGGCGAAGTTCATCAAGCTCAACATCAGGATCCTCTTCTTTGACACTAAAAGAATGTATAATACAAGATTCAATAGGATCTTTAGAACACCCATGTGTGAAAGAATTTGCCACCATTTGATTGATAATATCTACCCGGAAGCATGAATCGAACCTGGAAGGATACTTGATTGCCTCGAATACATTGAAAGTGACTTGCTCATCATGGACCCTCAATATCAACTTGCCTTCATATACATCAATAAGAGCTCGTCCAGTAGCGAGAAAAGGCCTTCCCAAGATAATTGGAATGTCATAATCCTCCTCCATATCAAGAATCACAAAGTCGGTCGGGAAGATGAATTTATCCACCTTGACAAGAATGTCTTCAATAATACCACATGGATACTTGATGGATCTATCGGCCAATTGTAAAGATATGGTAGTTGGTTTAGCCTCTCCCAAGCCCAATTTCGTGAAAATAGATAAAGGCATCAAGTTAATACTAGCACCAAGATCACATAAGGCTTTACTAAAATTTAATTCACCAATAGTGCATAGAATAGTAAAACTCCCTGGATCTTTGACTTTTGTAGGTAGCTTGTTTTGCAAAATGGCACTACATTCCTCCGTTAGCATTACCGTCTCATGCTCTCCAAGTTTTTTCTTATTGGAGACTATATCCTTCATGAACTTGGCATAATTTGGCATTTCAATCAAAGCATCAATAAATGGGATGTTGATGCGAATCTCCTTGAGTAACTCCAAAAATTTGTCAAATTTAGCTTTGGATTTGTTCTTCTTGAGCCTTTGAGGGAAAGGGATTGGAGGTACATAAGCTTTGACCGGAGTAGGAGCTTTTGAGGGTAATGACCCCGATTCACTTTCTTTATCCACTTCACCACTTTCATCGAACTTTTGAGTTAGTGCATCTTCTTTTGCAGATGATTTTTCAGTTTGAGCCATTGGGTGTTTCATTGTGATCTCGGGCAATTGCACTCCACTCCTTGTAGTGATAGCTTGAACATTTTCTCTTGGATTTACTTCGGTATTGCTAGGTAAAGCTCCTTGTTGCCTATCACTCATTGGTCTTGCCATTTGACCCATTTGGGTCTCAAGATTCTTGATTATAGCCGCTTGATTTTGGAGGATAGTGTCGGTTTTACTCATATGTTGTATCATCAATTCCTCTAATGTTGGTTTCTTCTCTTGAAGTGGTGGAAGTTGATGAAAACCCAGCAGCTTCAAATGGTTTTGATCGTTAGACCAAGAGAGATTTGGATGATTCCTCAACCCCGGATGATATGTATTGGAGTAGAGATTCCCTTGTTGGTGGTTGAAGTTTTGACCATAAGCTACTTGTTCGGGAGAAGACATACCATGAGTTACCAAGGGACAATCCGAGCTTTGGTGATTTGCTCCACATATGTCACATACCGGTGGAGAAGCTTACATCACATTCACAAATGAGAAGTAGAAGTAGAAAGCCCTTCAACCTTCTTTGATAGAGAATCAATCTTAGAAAGAACAAGTGCATAGGCATCAACATTGTGTATTCCACGTGCTTTTCTTTGCAAACCTCTATCCGGCCACATTGCACTTTGCTCGCTCATGATCTCAAATAGGTCATAAGCTTCTTGAATGCTCTTTTGTTGGATCGATCCATTAGAAGATGAGTCAACATTAGAACGGTATGAGGGCGTCAAGCCATCATAGAATTGTTTGACTTGTTGCCCTATTGAGATTCCATGATTTGGACATTTTCGAAGCATGTTTTTGAATCTTTCCCATGCCTCATGAAAGCTCTCCGATTCATGCTGTTGAAAAGTAGTGATGTCGTGCTTGAGCTTAGCAACCCTAGATGGTGGAAAGAACCTTTTAGTGAATTTTTGAACAAACTCCATCCAACTAGTGATGCTTCCCGGAGGTAAAGTGTCGAGCCATTCCCTTGCTTTATCTTTCAATGTATGCACAAATAATCTCATCCGAATTGCCTCTTCATTTACACCTTCATATTTGAAGTTGCTACAAACTTCCAAAAATCGTCCCACATGAGAGTGTGGATTCTCCTCAATTCTCCCATAGAATGAATTCCCATTGGAAAACAAGTTTATCACATCTGGCCGAAGTTGAAAGTTTGGATGATTGTATGATGGGTACACAATACTTGATTGATTTGCCACAATAGGAGGATTCATGAAGTCTCCAAAACGTATGTCCTCTTCTCTCACCACGGGTTCTTGAACTCCTTGTGCTTGAGGAATAACACCCGGTGGAGCTATAGGATTGACATTTCCCCCATAATTAGCCATTTCAACTTGAAGTTGTCTTCTTGCTTCTCGTTGTTCTCTTAGTCTTCTTCAAAAAGTTCCTTCAATGTCCGGATCAAAATCAACTAGATCAAAACTTCTCGAACGACGCATACACGATCAAAGACCTAGCACAACACAAATGAAAAATTGAACCTCCAAAATGAAATAAAATATTAAAACTAATGTCAATTAAAGTAGTAATCAAAATAGAACACTCCCCGGCAACGGCGCCAAAAACTTGTTCGCTTGAAAATATACCGCAAGTACACGGGTCACGTACAAGTAATAAAGTGGACTTTTAGAGTCCGAGATATCGATCCCTCGAGGAATGACTATTTAATTGTACAAGAGTTGAATTAGTTCTAGCAATAGAAATACACACAATTCATTTTGAGTTTTCAAGATAAGAGTAGACGATCTATATATAAAAATAACTAAAGATAACAAAGTTAACTTAAAATAAACAAGGTTCGATTTTTAGAATAGTTGGGAGGTTGAAATGGTTAGAATTCATGATTTCACTTAACCATCATTTAATCAATTTCTAATAAGCAAATTAGTAAACCACTTATTTTCTAT